GGGGGCGGCAAATCCCAAAGGCGTGGAATATTTTACCAGTTATAACTTCGGAACCATAAGTCACATAAACATAACATTTGGTATGCAGACATATCTATGGTAGGTGCTTATAGTAAGGTATTTATACATAAATGAGTTTGTAAAAGGGGCGTAGCACTTAACATAGGCTTGGAATTTTTTGCTATAACTTCGTAAGCACAAGTCACATGACCCCTATAATTCCTTCTGGCTGGGGTGAAACCCGCGGGTAAAAGCTAGTTTTCTATATACTTTAGTTAAAATTCTGTTCAAATTTCAAGTCATATGAAGTACGTTGTTCAGCAGCCAGCCCTCCTGATATCAATTTATATGCATACTAGCTTTTACCCGCGGGTTTCACCGCAAGTCTTTATACAAATAAATATGAAAAACATTTTATGTAACGATGTTATATTTCATTTCTTCTCGAATTTTAATATAGCCGTGATAGCATAATAACATAGAATAGTTGTTTAGCTGGGGTGCTATGAAATCAGAAGTAATAATATGTTTATAATAAAATAGTTTTAATAAATTATATAATAGTTGAAATACCAAGGTTGTATTGTAATAACTAAATTTTAACTATCTAATTTCTTACTCTAATATTATTCCGCAGCACGTTTTTAGTACTTCAATGCATCTATTAACATAGATGCATTTTCCAATGCAATTATTATAAATTTTGTTTTCGATAAAGAGTTGGTTTTATTTTAAGGCATCCTTTTTTATTGTCATTGCAAAAGCTAAGTGAACTGGAAACTGAAGTTTTTTAAATTCTAAAGGCATACCAGAAGGAATTAAAGGGGTCATGTGATTTGTGATTCTGAAGTTATGACTGATAAGAACTTCCACGCCCATGTTATGTGCTACGCCCCCTTTTACAAACTCATTTATATATACCTTACTATAAGCACCTACCATCGATATGTTTCCATGCCAAATTTCAAGTTCATGTGCCACGCTCTCTTTTATACCCGAGCGCACTTGTGCACAAGGGTATTATAACTTTGTTCACATAACGGTTGTTTGTAACAGGGAAAACGAATCGAGATAGATATAGACAAATGTATACATAAATGATCAGAATGAAAAGAGAAATCGAATAAGCGGTGACTGTCTGTCCGTCCGTCCGTCCGTCCGTCTGTGCACACGATAACTCGAGTAAAAATTGAGATATCTTAACGAAACTTCGTACATGCACTTCTATTGGGCGTGGGACGGATGGTATTGAAAATGGGCGAAATCGGACAATAACCACGCCTACCTCCCATATAACGGTAATTTTCAGAAATACGAAAACTGCGAAGATAATTCACTCAAAATTGACATTTGGAATAACTTTTAGACGAGAAATAAGAATATTAAAAATTTTTGAAAAATGGGCGTAGCCACGCCCACTTATAGTTACATGTGTATATTTTGGAAACCGCTGCACCAATTTCTTCCAAACTTGGCACAGTTGTTGACCCTGGTACAGCATACCAAATTTTTAAAATCGGACAATAACCACGCCCACGTCCCATATAACGGTAATTTCGAGAAATACGAAATCCTCGATAAATCAGTAAATATTAAAGCTAATTTATTAAAAATTGACGGTTGTAACAATTCTTTATCAGGAAATACGCTTATGATAAAATTTTGGAAAATGGGCGTGGCACCGCCCACTTATGATCACATTTATGTATATCGGTAACAGTTCTAGCAATTTGTACCATACTCGGTATGATTATTGTGCTTGCCACATAAAAGCAAACCGTTGAAAATTATTGAAATCGGACTAAAATTACGCCCGCTTTTCATATAACGGTAAATTTCAGAAATGCTTGAAATTTCAATATTTCGAAATTTAAGGATGCTAGTTTACTTAATATTTATACACCCGCTTATCATGTAACGGTAGCTTTCGGAAAGGTGGAAAACATATATTTAATACTTGCGCCGGGTATTTAATGTTCGGCTCCGCCCGAACTTAGACTTTCTTACTTGTTATATATACCTTACAATAAGCGCCTCCCGTAGACATGTCTTCGTACCAAATTGCAAATTCTTTCGACTTATGGTTCCGAAGTTTTAGCTGATTAAACATTTGCAGGTCTATTGGCGGTGCCACGCCCCCTTGCGAAATTTACGACATATTTTCAAATAAGACCATACCTATAACCTTCCCGGGGTAAAAACAAATAAGTCTGCCAAGTTTCGTGCAATTCCGTGTCGTGGCTCAAAAGTAATAAGGTAATAAACAAACAGACATTCACATTTATATATCGTCGTTGGAATAATAAAATAGTGTAACATGAAAAGTATAGTTTTGAGAAAAACCAATTGGAAGTTTTTATAAACCATTACAAACCATACAAATACAATTTCGTTGTTCGGGAATAAATTAGTGAGCCAAAGAGATATTTAAGAAAACTAAAAATTTTTCTAATAAATTAAAGGATTGTCTATCCAATGGTGCAATTATCGAATAATAGTGTATGTGGCCTTTACACTATTTCTTTATTCGAGCGACGATATATAGATAACAAGCTAAGCTCACAAAAAATTTCAATCGATCTGAAGAATGATGGGTTTTTTGGGCATGAGCTCTCCGTCTAGATACTCTGGTAAAACCACTTTATATACATACATACTTTACATAATCGCTAAAAGTACTACATATATACTATATGCACATTTTGGTTTGCGTTTTAAGGTTTTCGAAGCTTTCGAAAGGGGAGAAGTAATTGGAATTAATTTACATATCTATTTGGGAGAAAAAGTGTATTTTCAATGTCGCTGAATCATCAGAGCAAAAAGTGCTACGTACCGAATGCATTCTGTAAAAATAACGAACTATTTTAAATTGAAAACTTCGGACCCTCCGGCTACCGAATTTTCACAAACAGCCGAAAATTCATCTGACGAGTGTCAAGTACGGAAAAATGAATACGCTCCGGCGCTGGGAAACTTGGTGCAGCTGATTCCAGAGTAAGAGTTCATTTCCACCACGCCTTAACTGCAGTTAATGCCTACGGGAAAAGGAAATTAAAACAGGTCTTGGTGAAAGTGGGCTATAAGTTACCCGAGTCCCACAGTTCTCAGGACGTAATGATGAGATAGAGAAAATCTTATTGGAATTTTACTAGCATGTATGAATATTAACGTTTAGGCGTAGTTTGATTAAGGCCCAAAAATGGTCGCTTCCCTAAGTTTAAAAAATCAACACCCTCATTGTTTTCAATATGCCGGTAATTTCTCAACCCTCTGCGTCATGCAAATCAAGTTTTAAGTTCTCTGCAACCGAGTTTATCTATCCACGTCCTTGCAGGTTCCGCTTAATGATGCGCCAAATTTTGGTCACCGTCAACTAAGCGATAACGAGAATTATGAGCTCCTTGAATGTCCGTGGGCACCGGATGCTGCTTTTACATTTCCGCCTTCGACTAAACGTAATTTGACATTTCAATTATCATGTGTTAAAATGTGTCAAAGGTAATTTTCTACATTTAAATTCAAATGCCATGCTAATATTTAAATTAATATTAGCGGTATTCATCTAAACCGATAGCTTTATCAAGCAGATATTCTTATAAATTTAAGAGCTCTGTTACATGAACGCCCCATACTCTCTTTTTGTATACACTTGCGACAGAGTTACATTGTCTTCAGGTTATCAAGATTATTCAGTGATACCGTTGTAGAACTTTATTTGAAATGTGTAAACGAGTTTCCATACAAGTTTTGACAGTTGATTTCCAAAGTTTACACAATTATAATTTTATAAGGTTTGATGAATACCCTTATTATGTTTCTTTACAGGCATTTTTTCAATTTACCTACGGAGCATAGTCCAACACCATTCCTAGACGCTCCTGATGTTTGCAATCAATCACTGTACCTAAAGGTATACCGATTCTTGCAGATAGGGCCAACACTTCCTGTGACACTTATTTCCAGTGAACGCTCCTTCTTAAGCTTGAATCATATTTACGAAGTAAAACTGGGGAACAAAGATTAGATGGTTAAGCTTTACTTAGCATCCACAGAAATATAGAAGTTGCGAATAAAGAAATACTGACTACAATATTTTCTTTTAAGTCGAAGCAGTAGAGAAATGATATTTCACATTTTTCATGCATACATATGTAATAACTCGAATTTATTGAAAACAATATAGACATTTTGTACCACCGAAACGCATATTTGGTGCAACTGATTAAATAAAAAAAAAATAATAATAATAATAATTTTAAAACCCCTCCCGAAAAAAATTTCTGCGTTCGCTCTGGCCTATTCGCTTAGCTGTTTTAGTACAGCTGCACTTTTCCGGCAGAATGTTTATTTCAGAAGGAGTTTTATTCATTACGAATGAACATTTTTCGTTTAACAGCATCGCGGAATCAAAAAATTAATGAGGTTTAAAAAAACACAGTTTTAAATATCCGAGTGATATAATAGATGAATACATATTTATCCTCCTTTTACAAAGTCATTTATATATACTTTACTCTAAACACCTCCCACATATACATATGTCTGCATACCGAATTTCAAGTTCATGTGACTACACTCAGAGAAAAGTTGCGGGCTAAAATCAAGCTGTGTCGTACTTGATTTAAGAACTGCATAATTTAAGAAAACAAACTTAAATTTAAGTTTTCCCAATCTTAAATCAAGATATAAATAAGAACGGTAAGGTTAAAACAAGATAAAAATCCCAAAACTAGATAAAAGCATCTTGATTTAATAATCAAATTCCTGATTTTCAAGGGCATTCTTGATTCAAGAATGACATTCTTGATTTTAGAATATTTTAAGAGTAAAATTCTTTATTTAAGAGTGTTCGTTCTTAAAACAAGTTTATCGCACTTAAATTAATCCGAAGCATTTTCAAAATAAAAATAACACTTTCAGTGTGCGTTTCTTTCGGTTTTGCTATTCTTTTAAGAGTGCGCACTTGGTATAAAATATTAAAAGTGAAAAGTGTTTAAACTGAGTACAATGGAAGATTTTGAAATAGTTAATATTGTGCCATTAGAAAATTCAAATGCTATTGCGCCTTTGCATAATAGTAATGAAAGTTTCCCAGGAAATTGGATGGCTGTAGCTATCGAACCAGTTGTGCCTCCCGAAGAAAATTGTTTAAATGCTCTGGAGAAAGAAACTATTGAAAGTGGATCGAGCTACGCTGTGCAGTCTTTCTAAAAGCAAAGTTGTTTTGTACCAATGGGAAATGCGAATGCTGTTGTGCCTTTGCATCTGGAAAATGAACCACTTGAGCATTTTGACAAGAATCAGGACAACGAAAGTTTGAGGCAACTACTGAAAGAACTCAATTTAGAATCTGTTTATGAATATTTAAAGGGTAAGTATTTTGTTCGCGATATGTAAGTGCTATGCATTTTTACATTTTAGATATGTATATTTTAGCCACAGATGTGACATATAGAAGCTTAAAGTACATGCAAAAGAAGACATGAAGGAAGCTATTCCCCCGCTAGGGCTGCGCATGGAGTTTCGTGAGAAATTGTTTGCTTGGAAGAAAAAGCAGGTGAAAATTTTTGTATTGATGACAATTTAGATAAAGGCAAATTTTGAATATGGTTTTCAATAGTTTGGAATAGATGAAGAAACAATGTCAATGCCATCAAAAGTGGAAGAGTGGCTGAATACTGTGAAAGCCCCAACGTACACTTCCCTTACCTCTTCATCAACAAATGTGTCAATGTGTGGAAAATTGCTGAATAAAAATCTGAGTTTTATTCTAAATGAAACGTCAAAGGGGTAAAATATTCTCGAATTTTACAAGCAAAAGCAAAATTTAACCAACGAACAGAGGAATGAATTGATAAACATCATAGTAGAAGAAGTAATCAGCAGTAATGTTACTCTCCGAGCGCACGACTTTCCCGTATTAATTAATGAAATTGTTGGTATTTTCCCGAATGAAAAAGCCGTTGAGGTTAGTCAAGCCTTTATTTCCTACAATAAATATACCAACAATATTTTTCCTTTTTCCCTCAGGAGTACTATTTTATACCTAGAAATGGACGAAAAAATCCAAGCGGTAAGCTGTACGCTAAGTACAAAAACAGAAGGTCAAAAAAACATAAACTCACCATCGCGGATACTGAAAACAATGACTCCGATAAACTTTCTTCTACCGAACATTTCCGATCTAACAGTGCCCTCGTATCTGAAGTTGACAAATCAACTCTTCTGGCGTTTAAAACGTATTTGAGCAGGGATAGCTCTAATTGGAATGAAGTACGCGACAAATGGAAATTAACTTATGGAATACGTCAGCAGGATTTAAATGAAATGGAAAGCATTGATTTTTTAAAGTCTTGGCCCAAATTATCTGATTCCAGAGCACCGGAGTTGGTAAACGATTGTTCAATAACCGTAAACCTTCCATTTTTAGTTACATACATATAATTTGTACGTATTTAAATCTATTTTTAGATCAAAATTGATTTTGATATGATGTACCCAACAAAAGGACAATTAATGTACTCAAAATGGGAAGATTTTATGATCAAACTTCATCTGTATTACGAAAAACAAATTCACAATGATTTTTGTAGGCAGCAGTTTTCTAACGCCAAATTAACCGACAATAAAAGTAAGTATCTAAGTCATATCTGCAGTAGATAGTCCAGTTTTAGAATAGATTTATATAGCAGATAATCGACACTCGAGTACTATTTAAATATTTATCGTAATTTTTTATCTTTAGATGCTCAGGATTATATATCAACTATACTCCTTAACGCAGTGCTGCCTTCCCCAGCTCGATTCAGAAATCACTCAGGAAAACTTAACAAAAAGGCAACTTTGGTGGATGCAGAGGAAAGTTTTGCTTTGAGACTGACGTCTATTAATAATTACCAACGGAAAATTGACGAAATGCTCAGCAAATACTACTCAGCTGGATTGACTGTACAGCCCTTTATTTTGGTAGAAGGGCTATCTGATGAAGATATCAAAGGGTTCTATGTTTATTTTGAGAAGACTTTATATAAATTTGCTTCATATCTCGAAAGCTTAGACGTGTGCTTCAAAATTTTCCAAGTCTTTAATTTAAAATATCCTGATACGTGTCAGTTGCCATAGGTTTTTATACAACAATTTTTTTATGAAATTAATACTCCTTTTGACGTTAAATCCTCAAATATTACTTGTCTTCTTAATTTCATCACCAACAACTAAATAAAAGTACTTAGTTAAAAATGTATATTTGCTTTGAATGCTCACACAAATTTTTAGGTGCACGTCTTCTAATCCGTCACTTCAAAGTCGATCACTTTAAATCTACAAAGCTTCTAAAACTCAAATGTGTACAAAATCAATGTAACCAAACTTTTTCTAATTTTACGTATTTTCGCATACATTTGGAAAATCAACATCCAGTTGAAGAAAATTTTGATAATTGTAACGCTTTATCACAATGCACAACGTCCTATTCATTAATCGATAAAAGTGACAGAAAATTTTTCGTTTGATGTTATGCACGATATATATGAAGGCGTTTGAATATACGATATGTGCAATATACTAGTAGCATTAATAAGTGAGCAAGTCATTACCCTAGAGGATATAAATAGCAGAAAAACACTTTTTCAATTCGGTGAAACAGAAAGCGGAAATATTTCCGTACAATTATCGATTGGAAGACTAAAGACATTTAACTCAAAAATGACTGCCAGCGAAATAGGATGTTTCATTCATTTTCTGCCACTAATAATAGGCGATCTTATTCCTATTGGTAATAAGCACTGGGAACTTTTTACAATATTATTGGAAATCGTCGACTTTTTGTTTAAGCCATCATATCGATACGATGAATTAAATAATTTTCAAAATTTAGTTAAAACACATCAAACGCCACTTAAGCCAAAACACCGTTTTCTTGTTCATTACGCTACGGCGATAAAAAAATGTGGTCCATTGAAATATATATGGAGTATGCGTTTTGAGGCTAAGCATAAGGAGGCAAAAATTTATTTGAATAATATTACTTCTAGAGTAAATCCTCCTCGATCGTTAGCAATCAAATCCGGAATTAAATTTTCAAGTTTTTTGTTAGACCATGAGAACTCTTTTGAACCAGTTTTTAGTTTTAAGTCATCGAAAATTGTTGATTTAGGGCAATTAGATTATTTTTCTAGAATAATTTCTGTATTAGATATAGATATTACTAGTGTTGAAGTTATTGACGAACTTACTTATAAATGTACACTTTATAAAACAAAAAAAAACAATCTTGAGATTTTTAAAATAAAAACATTTTTACATCAAAATGAAAATATTTATGTTATATGTTATCAAATAAATGTAAAAGGTTTTCATAACCATTTTCAGTCATATGAAATTGATTCTAGACTAAGTGAAGAAACAGAAAATGTACATATTATAAATATTTGTAACTTTACCAGCCCACCTTTACATGTATATTATATAAATAATGGCAAAGCCTTCATCAGACTGAAACATATTTAATAAGAATTACATCTACATACATATGTGAATTTTCCTCTTCTTAAGAATTTTTGAATAAAAATGCAATGCATCGAAAATACTTTTGTTTTGCAATTTTGGTTTGGGGGGACAAATGCTTTCGAATTTCGAATTTCGAAAAGTGAGAAATCAAGAATAAATATTCTTAAAATGAGGCTTAACATTCTTAAAATAAGATTAGACATTCTAAAATCAATCATGAGTTGTGCTTAAAATAAGTTTTTATAAGCTTATTTCAAAAGTGCAAAACTCTTAAAATAAGATTTTTATTCTCAAAATTAGAACGAAGTAATCTAAAAAACATCGTTCTAAAATTAAGAATATATTCTTTATTTCAGCATTTTCAAGCTTAGCAGACTTTCATGACGTTTTCGGCTTATTTTAAACCCGTTTGACTTAAATTTAGCTTGTTTTTTTCCCTGAGTGTATGGTTCCCAATTTATGGCTGATTAAAAACTCCACTTAATTTAGTTTAGCAATTTTTTGGACTTAAGTCAAAAGTTAGGCTACGTTTTAGACAGCTTATTCTTGACTTAGTCAAGAAAATTGGCTTAACTAAGTTGAGTTGAGTTGGAGAAACCAGCCCTTAATATATGCAAATAAAAGAAGAAAGTAAACACAACAACCATCGAAAAAATTTTTATTTGTGTCAAACTGAAACTTTTTTTCCAATAATAAACGGTTAGCTGATTCAAGTCTACAGCAAGTTCAAAATTAATTGAAAACTAGTATAAACCAAAGCATTGTTTATATTTGCTCAAAAATGATTTTATTGAACTGACAATATTGTCCAATCAAGGTAGTCGTTTTGTAATTATTAACAAATATGTATTTGCCCCAACTAGAAGTCTCAAGTAAATTGCAGACTTTCGTGAACTAGATATTTATTTCGCCATATCGAACTATGCCACTTGGTAACTATAACCAAATCTTGGTAATTATAACTAAACTTTTTTCTGGGTGTAGCTTTTTCAAAGGTACCATTAAACCACTGATAGGCACTGCCTTGCCCGCGGGCAAAGCTCTTTTAAGCTTTCTATATATTTTGTATAGGCGCGAGCACAGTAAAAGCTCTCTCTGCGCAACGCTGCATTAACCCATCTCACATTGTAGATTGCCATTCCTCCATGACTTAAAAATCTGACTTTTATCATTTTGAGCAAATAATACTTTAAATGCTTTTTATCTTTTTAAGGCAAAAAAACGTTAAAATTTGCCTTTTACTTCTTTGATCAGAAAATAATCGGTAATTGTTGCCTATTATTTTTTTTGGCAAAAATAAAAGTCAATGTTATAAATCAAGTATTCCAGAATTGAGTATACTCGAATTTAATAGTTTTAAAGCTCCTATCTGGATTTTAATAACTCCCTAACACAAATACCAGTGTTATATCAAATATAAATATGTACATATTTGCTATGTATAAATACAATACATGAATGCATCTTTTGTTAGCGGCATCAGATTTGCACAGATCATTCGATTTTCAAAACTGAGGTTCCAAACTAAACGGCTTGACCTCTAACTTTACAGCACGGTATGACTTTTTTGGAAAAGGGTTGCCCCCTTTTTTAAATTATAAAACCGGCACCGTTCGTTGTATTAGAAAAAAATTGGGTTTCAAATTAGAGGGCTGGGCCTCTAGATGTGCAAGAAGGTTTCATTATTTTGAATAGGGTTGCCACCTGCTTAAAAAATCATAAGACTTACACCGTTCGCGCATTTTAAAAAAATTATATAATTTGCCATATAAACGGGCTTGGTCTATAGATCTGCAAGGAAGAACCTCTAAACCTCTGAAAAGGGTTGCCACCTGTTACACATTTTGTCTTTCGTGCAGAACATCAGATTTACACCGTTCTCTCGAGTTACAAAATGCGGTGTCAAATTAAAGGTATTCGCCTATAGACGTGATTTGTTGTTTTTTTTAAAGGGGCTCGCCTAATAGAAAATGCATTGTCTAAAATATGATAGTAAAATATCACAATATGGGTTTGCGATTAAATTAATATATTGGTGTTTTTAATAGAGTTGGTACTTATTAAACACTTTTATAATTATGAATGGTAAGTAATGTTTTAAGGGCATTCGATACTGCTATCAATCAAAAGCTAGTTAAGAGTTGTTAACTAGATGACAACTCTCGAAAATTCGCATACATTTATACAAAGGCCATTTAACTAGCTGTCGTTTGATACCAATATCGAATGTCCTTAATACATTACTTACCTTTCATAGCTATATATTTTTTAATAGGTGGCAACTCTTAAAAGCACGAACATATTAATTTAGTATAAAAACCCTTTCGCTTTATGCCCATATTGCGATATTTTACTGAGTATCATATTTCAAGCAATAGATTTATGATGTATTGTGGAACGATTTTCCGTCATCCCTTGTCAAATTTGGTTTGGAGACAAACCGATTTCAGCGTTGTTCCATCTTCAGTGTCATTTTTCGCTCTGAATAGTTCGTGTTTCCTTCTGCTTTTTATGTATTCGTGTTACTATCTCTTTTAACTGTCATTAGGTCATGCATCCCCATCTAAGTGCGACCTCTTTTGTTTCATTATCTCACAGGAAGGTGCTTCTAGGTTGCTTGTATTCGCCGACGGCTAGGAATCCGTTATTTTTATTTTCTTGGTTTTCGTGATTGCGTCGGTTTATGTTCCGTTATTTAGCAGGTATTAGGTTGCTTGCTTGTGCCGGCAGATAGAAATCCGTTATTTTCATTTTCTTGGTCTCTGCGGCGTAGGTATGTATCTTCGCGTTGGCGTTTTTTTCAGGGGCCTTCTCATATTTTTCGTACAGCATCTTGAGTGGTTCGAATATTACATCCGATACGGTGTTTGTTTGTTCGTTTATAATTCTCCCTTGAAATGTCTTCTGCTTGTATATCTCCATGTTTTCCAATATGCTCAAACGCCGTCCTTTATACTGTACGTGGGGGAGTTTG